AAAGCTTAAAATATTATATAAAATTTCCTTTCATCATAGGAAATGATAACATATACATTTGATGATTATTTTAAGTTATTTATTTTATATTCTAATGAAACAAATAAAACTGTTTTTGTTAACGACTATGTTGCATAACACTTTCGATATTGAACGATTGAAGCATTATTTCTGCTTATAAATATTAACTTGATAATCATGTTTTATTTATTATATTAAATGATTTGATCTTTTATAGATTCGTTAAAAAACAAAAGTGGTTTCTTTATAAAATTGATATGAATTAAAATATTAATTATATTATGACTGCGTTAAGGGTCACAATGAATTAATATAATACATTATTATATTAATCAAAAAACAATTGATTATACCTTTAGTATGTAAAAACTTCAAAGCTAAACTAATTTCTGCTACATAAAATTTAGCATGATCTTCGGGCAATCTTCTTTTTCTTCTCATAAAATACAACAAGTCACCTCCACGAACAAATTCCATCACAAAGAATAAATCGGCTGGTGTTTGGAAGCAACATAGAGAGCACAAAAAATGGGCAGTCAGCAACAGTATAAAAACATTTTTTTTCGTTATGAATCGAGTTAATTTCCTAAAATGTAAAATATATATTAAATATTTTATATGTATTATCCTCAGATCATATACTATGAATAGTCCCATGTCCCGATAGCTTAAAGGACACATGAACGAAAAGCCTCTAACTGATATACTTGATGTGCACATGCTAGAAGAGAACTGTGAATGCGCAAAGAGAAATATCGGATATTTATCTATTTGAATTAATATGTATAAATACTCCCTCTAGCGTTGCCCAGAGAAAATTTGTTTTTTAATGAATATTCAATTTCATTCGGTGGATTGAATGTATTCTGTGGCATCACATATCTGGTGCTTTTTGTATGTAAAATGTGTTCAAGTCAAAAACATGATTTGAGTGTCTGGCATGACAGCTAGTCACAATGTACGTGCATTTTAGTAATTAAAGTAGGCAATCTGTGGACAATATATGAGGAAGGCAATCTACCTGCAAATCCGATGATGAGCTACAGTAAGTGCAAACCTATTTAGGAAATATATATCAACTACACCCATTAGGAAGAAATATCACCAATGTAAAAATATTTTTACATTACCCAATCAGTAATCACCAGTTACTACTCTTATTCAAATATCTTGATGGTTTTCTAGTGTGCCAAATAAAGAATCAGACACGGAATGAAATAAGTAATTTCAAGCAATCTAAAGCATTAGATTTTTAGCAATTCTAAATTTCAAGTTCATACATTTTTTCATTTAGTGAAAAATTAAGCACATAATATAGACTATGATTTATGACTATTGTTAATTAAAATATATTAATTACTGTATACTTAGCGGCACATTCTTTTTCTATAACTTTCATAGCATAAGTGCATTGGCTTCTTTTATGTTTAACCATTAACACCGTGGCATAAGTACCACAACCAATAATCTTCATTAGTTCAAAGTCATAAATAGGATATTCACATAAGACTCCAGCTTCTGCATCACCTGTTATAAATATAATTGAACATTAAATTATATTATAACAATATTATTTTGAAATATTACTTATACCTTCTGGATTTTCAATGGGTACAGAATCAGCTGGTTGATCAATAACATCATTAGGATCAGAAAAACTATTTGTATCCTCCAAAGCATTATCAGAGCAAAATGTATCTAAATATTAACACTATTTTCATTAAATATACATAATAATTTTAACAATATATATTTTTATATTAATTACTTAAAGATGTTTGACCGTCTCCATTGGTGTCATCACTAACTACCGAATCATTAGTGCAGTTATTTTTACCAAGCTGATGGTTTTTGTTTTTACAAGATTTGCATCGATTACATTTGAGTCCTTGCAAATCTAACCCTCGAAATTGAGTTCGGCAAAACTTGCAAAATGCATTCTGATTATAAAATAAGAATAAGATTTAAATAGTTATAAATATTAATGTTATATATTATATTATCACATTCAATGGAATAAAAATGTTTATATTACTATTTCTACTATTACATACTAAATTATTTTCATTTTCTTGAAGTTCAGAACAACTGCAAAATATTCCCATATTGAACATTAATATTATATGTTTTTATTAAAAATCATTGAATGAGTGTTTAACATAAAGGATGCAGCACACAACTAACAACTTATCTTCTTGTAAGAAACAAACTTCCAGCATTAATTAATTATTATATTTTTTTTAATAACTATTTGATAATTAATTAAATGCCAAAACATTTCTTATCTTGTTTTATTGTATACCCAATACAGAATACATACTAAATGACCTTAGACCTTTTTCTAATAAAAATACATAGTTAAAATAATTTAAAACTATTTATTTAATGATATTAATTGCTTGATAAAACTTATAATATTTAAATTAATTCAATATTTAACTGAGTGTAAATTTGGTATTGTATTATTTTGAATTTATATTACCTATACAGATATTATAATTAATTGTAAATAGAAGTATGAAATCAATGCTAGAACTACGATTAGTATCATAATCTTCTAAAAAAAAAATACTTATCGTAGAAACTTGAAACATTCCTCTACAACTTAGTTTATCATTTTCTATACTCAGTAAAATGTATAGCACCTATTTATAGGCATCTGAATTATTTGAATTGTGATGTTAAATAGGTAGTAAAACTTGTTAGGAACCTTCTATTAAAATATCTAATGTTAGATATGAAAAGAAAAGCTTTTATTAATTTCTAACTAAAAAATAATTTACTACATTTGAACAATTTTTCTCATGGCTATAAATAGTTATAAAGGATCAACATTTTCTGAAAATAGGACCATGTATCATGTATGTAAAATGTCATTTTTAACATTTGGTGAAAATTTCATGTATCTAGGACTATTTGTTTTTGAATTAAAACAAAAAATCAAAAATTAATAGAGCAAAATTCGTTAATTTCCAAAGAATATCTAATATTGTAAACATTTTAAATTCAAAAGCTCATAAAAATTAATATTAGTTTCCAGTAAAATTTTTTTTTGTTTAAGATAGCAATAGCCAATTATAATTTTTTAAATCTTTTAACTTTATCAAATAAATAAAATAAAAAGTTGTATTAAACACATTTCTTTTCTTGAAAATTATAGTAAATAATACCAACACATAAAAAAAAAAAATTATCATACATAAATATTTTTTCTCATACATCCTAATTCTTACTTTAATTAAATGTATCTATTTTGAAATATTCATAATGTGTTAATTATAATTTTTTTAATTATTCATTGATTTTATGGTTCTTTTTAAATGTGGTTTTAACATGTTAGATTGGGATATTGTTAATTCATTTTAATATAAATATCTGTTTGAGTTAGTTTGATCAAAATGTCTAAAAATGTAATAATATTAGGATGTGATTTATACAATTTTTTATTAAATTGAGCATGAAAAGATTCTCAGTTGTTGAGGATTCTAGTAAAATCGGCTGTAAATGATAGCCAAATGTTTTGGAGGAAATACATATTTTTTTCAATATGGAGAAATTACCATGTCTGTTTTTATACTGAGTGATAATGCAGTACTTATTTATAAAATTTTAAAAATGTTTGAAACATGACCGGTACCTATACCCACAATAGCAAGGGAAAAAAATCTGTTAAAAAAGTACTAGTTATTTGCTAATATGTTATATATAATATACATTTCATGTTTGGTATGATGTACAAGTGAATTTAAAACATTTTATATTTTATAATTTTACATTAATAACATACCAATTAATATAATATATATTCAGTATAATAAATAATATACTACATTGTAAGTTATATGATATAAATTATGAACCTATCTACTTACAAACATATTTTCGATGATTGCCAACACTATATCAACTAACAATTTTCTTCCCGTTCGGTAAAATTGTTTATATTATGCTATGTACCTGTATCTTTGGTACCTATTCATAAGGTATAATTTAAAAAAAATTAAGTTACGTACAGTGAAAATAAAATTATAAAATATTTCTTTACCAACTTTAAAAGAAATCAAGACTGTCAAGAACCGAATAATATGTCAATACCGTTTTCTTTGTCTATGGTCAAGACTCGAGGACAAAGAGAAGAATGCTAAACTCAGCTGATGTAGTCAAATACTCTAGTGACAATATTTGTTTACATTTTTGAAATCTTATCAATATTTCGGTTAATCAATCGATATGCCCTTACACTAGTTGACCTGTTGACGGAGCATAAAATGACGACGGGGTTAGGTCCTTAAATATTTTGCGTTTCGGTGATACCGATATATATATATATATATATATACAGATAATACAGTTATAGACAGTTTATTGTTTCTCTAGTGCGCATGCGCCGTGTAATTTGGTAACATCCGAACAGTACAGTCACGTCTGACAGCTGGAATTACATCCACACTCCGTCTACTAGTTTAAGACCTATGGATATGACAACATGGATATCATATTTTTGATGCAAATTTATAAGCTCCTAAGCCGGGCATCACTATTTTATTTGTTTCAACCGACCCCAGGTTTGAAACGAACAGTGAACACTGTAACAGTTGTTCGTGAAGCCCAACATTTTAGTGGGTAGTTAAATTATTTTTAAAGGACTCTACACCCTCATTTGTCTTAGCAGGCGTACGCCATAGTGAATTTCCCGAATCAGGCGTTTGGGGATGAACAAGGTACAGTGGTGGGGGGGGGGGAGTAGCATACGTGGAATAGTGAATGGTAAACAAGCCGACCCCGCGCAGCGTACCCCGCCGTCGAGGCAGTAAGGGTTTTCGAAATAACGACAATCAAGGGTGTAACATCATTTTGTTGCGCGGGGGGCGTTTCCATGTTTTTCGGAGGTTCAGACTTCAGATCATAGGTATACAATAGAACCCGATCAGCTGATCCAGACAGTGTCGCTTCCATACACAAATGTCTACATGTATAGGTACTAATGAGAGATGGCTATCTAGTACCATCACAGATTAAATTAACCTGTAGTACTCACGACTGTGGTGCTATGGTTGTTAAATTACTGAACTGTTCTATTGTTTTAGGCCGGGCACACACTAAAAAGCGAAAAAAAAATTCCACGAACCGCTGCATGTGGCACACTGCATGACCACTGCAATAACCTTGCCATCCATTTCACCCCCCCCCCCCACACACACACACTTGTGTGCTCCCTGCAATATCCACTCGTCAGTTCACGATGATCAACCTATGATAAAACGTTGAAACGTAAAGCCTTTTCGATTCATAAGTCATAATTGCACAAAGTACCACTAACAATACTTCTACATTACTACCAATACCACTTTTTTTTATCTGAATTCTAGAACCAGGGGAGAACTTCCTATGCTTTGCTTTCCCGCCGGTCCACCATCGTTTATTTACATAAAACAAGTATTAATTAAAAAACAGCGCATGTACAATAGTTACAATAACGATTTACAGATTTACAGTGGTTACAATAATTAATTACAAATGATTAAAATACAGTTTTGATCAGCACCCAGGCTTCTACTGGCATACTATGACTGCCCATGATCCCTTTGCCTCAGATGGTCCTCCTTTTCTTTAGTGCCTATTTCTAAGTGCCAATTTCTCCGGATAGTTAGAAAGATAGTTACTATGGATTCCGGATTTCAGTCCTCACCCACTAATATGAATTATAAAACGCTAAAATCTATCACTATCCCTTTACGAGTGCTGATTTAGTTCTGCACCAGTATTTATTAAATCGAATATTATAATGTTAACAACATTTGACCCCATAATGGAATGGAGTTATAAGCCTAATAGTAAATACAACTTTCAAAATCGGTGGTACAGAAACTGCGCACGGAGTGCAAATAACAATAGAATAATAAATAACAAACCTAACCAGTTTACTGAATATTGGTCAGATCGAATATGTTTTTGCTTCAGTTCAGAGCATAACAAATGCATCAAATAAAAGTCACTATAAATGGTGAAAATTAAGGCTCGCATTTAAATCTCCTAAAAATAATGAAAAATGCTCTTCAAGAAAATGCATGTACTGCTATGACCGCTTTGACCTAAAAACTATGAAAAACTCCGTAAAAATGACGAAAAACACCCATCAAAAAATGCGTACCTACCACTGAAACAATGTATACGATAACAAAACATAAATATGGTAGATTATCTATATAAATATAATGGTCAACGTCCAATTGGTATGTATGACATTAAAATAAATGCATGAATCGTTTCATTTAAAAATCAGTGTTGAAAATAAATGTAAAATAAATGTGGTTTTAGTACAGGCATATGTGTATTTTATACATTGTATTTTTGCATTTTTTTTTAGTTATGTCACTAGAAATAGATTAAAAAATGAATGATGTGGATTTAAAGTCAAACATTTTTTTGGTTACTTACGGAAAAATTGGTAAATTTTTATTAAAATTAAATTTATAGTCTACCTAATGAATTTTTTCACAATATTATGTAAAGAACGCAAGATAAATATAAAATAAAGCATTATTAGTATTTAATCCCTTTATTAAAAATAACAATTAATAATTATTAATCATAGTAAAATATAAAATTAAAATAATTTTAAACGGTTTCAAAAAAAAAAAAAAAACAAACAAAATATGCATAAAATAAACATCAGTCTGTATCATTTCTTAAAACCCTAATTTGTATTATAATCCTAATACCTATCTTGATAAAAAATACAAATATATCCAAATAAAGTGGTCAATCAACTATTTAAACGGTAAAAAAAATGTAAATTGTAATTTTTTTCTGTAAATTTAGGTACTTTACTGAAAAAATGTTACATGGTAAATTTACGAAATTCATATCACTATAAAAAATGACCAAAAAAAATTAAAAAATGTTATAAATGCATAGAAACCAGATTTACTGTAAATTTGGTAAATTGTTTTCATAGAATCCATCCATTAAAACTGATTGTAGTTGGGACATAATTATTTAGTGTGATATTATAATAGATTAAATATACTTAAGTAATATATTTTAATCTATGGTATAATACACAGTTTTTATTATAGGTAGGTATGCAATATATTTCAGACTGTGTTTAATACTCACTAAACTATGTCCAACTGCAAACAATTCTAAACGTTCTAGTACGAACAACCTGTGTTATACTAGATACATGATGTACGTCCTATCAAATATATGGGTCAATGGCGTATTTAGTGTTTAGGACGAGTGACTGCAAGGCTTATAGATTATCTATAAACCTTGGAGTGACTGTGGGTCCATAGGTTTCACACCACCTCATTGGCATGGATGCCAACATATTCAATTTTATATTTTTACTTGATTAAAATTGAAAATTATATTTATATTTTAAATCATACTATTATGATAATAATATATAACAGTGGCCCCAGTTGAAGTTTATTTAATAAGGGGCAATATTTAGGCAATATGCAATCTTGTATCCGTCGCCCCCGGACATATTGTGTTAATGTGAATGCGGTTGTACACGTATACCAGGCTATCTACGGAAAAAAAACAGGAAATTACGCCCTTGATGCTAGTCTGTAGTAAATTTTTAATCGTGACATTATAGAAATTAATACACCATAGTGTAAGTGCATATTATGTAATTAATTAAGATATTTGGGGATGCTAACAAATTATTTGATGGTGCTGAGCAGACGGGAAACACCTAATTGCAACTATGGCGAGGGCAAAGCCCTCCATGGTACTGTGTTTGGAAAATTGTCTGGATCCCTTCCTTGAGCAATTTTATTCCTGAACACATCTCTGGTATAGGTGACTATTGCAGTAGTAGAGACAGGGAGGGCCCAAAAGCTCATCAACATTCCCCCGATATTTACCGATTATAATATCCATGGATAATTTACGATTATTACTTTTTTAATATGAAAAATCATAACAAGATTGCACTTGAATTTTGTATTTACAACATGTCAACCCGCAGGCATAGCTTAAGAGACTTACCCGGGCAGAGAGGTCTAGCTATCACTAAATTGCATAGGGGGCTTAGTGAATACCCTAACCTGGAATGCAATTTTGTACGATCAGCCATTATTATAGTTATAATCTATAGAATTATGACAATTATGTTATATAGCATAGATATTATATATATATATATATATATATATACATTATGTAGATATCTAATTAAATAATCGGTATTTTAATGTCCACGATGAGAAATATGTATTAAAACATTTTAATTTTTGGAATTTCTTGGGGTTATGGCTCCAGTGCCCCCGATGTCAATTTTATAGTACACATGGCTGCACGATTGGAAAATCATGAGTTTCGAATTGACGTGGCAATTAATTTGCTGACATTTAAATTAAGTATTTACGAATACTAATAATTAATATTATATTGCTGAAGTAATACTAATCTAGGCAAAAACATATTTTCATTCCTCTATTAGGTATTATTTAATTTTTTTAAGGTTACAATATGCGTTGGCTAAATATATTGTATCACACGTATGTTTTTTGGTCCCTCACGACAAGCCAAACACTTCAATTCAAAATTGTTACACTATTATTTAATATTTATAAATTATATCAAATATAGATAAGTGTGTACCTTCTAAAATATTATATTATTGCTACCTAATAGCTCTGATTTCAAAGTAGACTATGTTATTATTGCGTAACAGGTCCTAAAAATGTCATTTGACGAAAATGGAAACCGACCGGAATCGGCCGAACGAACCATTCAAGTGACAAACTGCACAATATACGTCGGACGTGTAGGAATCGTCATTGACCCGCGTCTCAACTCCGATTGTACCAGTATTCCCAAGACACGCACAACTGAAGACCATGACGGGTCCTCCTTGAATACGTCTCCAAAACAGTCGGACTTCGTTGGTGTTCGCAGCACAAGTACACCTACTTTATAATACTATCAGTCATTTTTCCTTATATACCTCTCATCGGTATAATAACATGTTGTGCACGTCACATTTTCAGAGCCTCGCAGCCAGCGTCAATCTATCGCCATGCCGTACGCGGCCCGACCAAAGACAACAAAATTCGGACCGACAAGTCGGCAGAAGTCGGTATGTCAGCGACCGGCCACGTCGCAACTGCCGTGTTGTCTGCACGGCGTTGGTCGGTGTAGTTATGAGGAGCGATTCGGCGCTGGAAGCGATAACTTCACCGCCGGAACCGACGACTGCAACGTCGCCGCACGGAACGGTGGTCCGTCGCGCCGGAACAGCAGCGGACGTTCGACGATCTGGGGGACCCAGAACGGCGGCCGATTGTCCCCTCTGAGGTTGGGGTCCCGGGTTCAGAATGTCTCGAAGTTCGACTGGCCGACGTCGTCCAAGATACCGGTGCCCCGTTTGAGCCAGCCCAAACCGCCCGCGAGACTGGACAGACCGGTGGACCTGTACGCCGGTTCCAGGCTTCCCGTGCCCATTCGACCAGGACCGGTTGCGCCGCGGATTCTCCGGATCGACCGTACTGGCGACGTGCGGCCGCCGTCGCAGAACGAAGGTCGAAGTGGTCTTTTGTGTGCCACTGCCGACAAGCTGCACGACACCGACGACAATCTAAACGGCCGGCAGTGCTTCATTGCTGACAAGCTACCCGACACCGACGACACGCCAGACGACACCGACGACAAGCCAGATGACAAGCCAGACGAAAATCCAGACGACAAGTCAGACGACACCGACGACAAGCCAGACGACATGCCAGACGACAAGTCCGATGAAAATCCAGACGACAAGTCAGACGTAACCTACGACCTCCCAGACGACACCGACGACAAGCCAGATGACATGCCAGACGACATGCCCGACGACATGCCCGACGACAAGCCAGATGACATGCCCAACGACATGCCAGACGACACCGACGACAAGCCACATGACGTCGTTGCCTTGCTTGACTACGATGACACGGCGATCGAGCCTGGACAGCCGTGCGTGCACATCGACGAGTCGGCCGTGAGCGCGACACCCAAACAGGGGTGCCCTCTCCCTCTACTGGACAACAGCATTTCGACCACGGATTCTCAGCCGGTGGTTGTCGAAATCGACATCCTGTCCGACGCTTCTAACCATCCGTCTCTGAAGCCGGTCGACCAAAACGAGCCAGGCATGACAGTTCTGACCTTAAAACCCGTTGTAGATGACGACGACGACTCTCAGCTATATAATGTTCACAGTAGTGGCCATCAAAGTGCTACAGTCTTAAATGAGATCTTACTTTAATATTTTATGTATAACAGATTTATATATAATATAATTTATATTGTGTATAAATTATAATATAATATCAATATTGTATTTCTAATCAATACCATTAACTTTGTACTGTTTTCCATCGATAAGTTAGGTTGTTACTTATAATTACAATATAGTGTAATATCATAATAATAATTACTATAAAATACATTAGGTAGGTAATCATAATATTCAGTGGCGTGGCGAACTAAAAATTTTCCAGAGGCCAGTTACAATTATCCCAAGTATTTATGCATAATAATGTATTAATGTAATATAACAAGTTATATTTCAGATCGTTATTGACTACCTATTGAGAATATCATATTCAATTTACTAGGGGACCCACTGGCTACCACCCAACCCTCTATTTAAGAAGAATTTCAGAGGCCAAGGCCTCTGAAATTATCGTTCGCCACGCCACTGATAATATTCCATGTTTTGTGCAAAATTTCATATTCAAATGGTCCAATATCGCATGGTAAATTAACAAGATTTTTTTTTACTTTTTATCCATTAATTATTTAATTAACTAATAAAAATATCAAAAATCGGACTTATTTTATAATAAGGTATTTTTACTGTTAACTGCTTCAATAATAAGCCTACTTGAAGTATGAAATCATGTTTTTATGCCATATATTTTCTTCACAAATGCTCCCTCTTAAGATTAAAGTATATTTTCTTTGAAAAATAAATTACTTATCGTCATTTTAATATATTATATAATATCCTTAGAATATAGCCTGACATACAATTTGCGCATTACCCTAATACCTAGTTACATTTAATTAAACCACTCATAACTTTTTTTTTTTTATTTAATAAATATAGGTTTATGTTGATATTATTTTACAATATCAATTAATAAGTAAGGAATTCGTCAATTGTGTCTCACACACGGAATACAATTATATTGTGTTTATTCCGTGCGGTTTCCGCCGACTTAAAAATGCATTATTGGTACACGGCAGATGTAATACACCACGTTTTCATCCGCGAAATATGCATTTTTAATTCGACGGCGAACGGTATGGGATAAGAGATATTACCTATGTTATATGAGTATCATGATAGGTACCTATTATACTTATATTCATATACCTTTATCATTCAGACTTCACTACAGCGTCGTAGGTAGTGGTGCTGCTCACAATGGGAAAACAATTATGAGTGGGGCAGAGAAGTTATAGGAGGTAAAATTGGAAAAATATGCATGTAAATATGCACATAAAAAATTGAAAATATGCATTCAAATGCATTAAATATGCAACATAATATGCACAAAAAAATTAAATTAAAATTTAGTAAAATAAAAAAAAAAATATAAAAGAAATATAAAAATCATTGCATTGCACAATTAATTTTATTTTAAATATTTTCTACGTCGAATGATCGCCGATTGTTAGTATGGTTTTCTTCAATCTCGAATTTTGGATTTATCCTTAAAATAAATATAAAATATATTAATACAAAAATAGTTTTAAAATAACTTTTTTCTTACCTGATAAATTATTGCATTACACAACTAATGTTTTTTTAATATTTTCTACCCCGAATGATCGCCGATTGTCAGCCAGTATGGTTTTGTACCTTGAAAAACTTCTTTCGACGTCTGTTGATGTTACTAGTGCATATTTATAAAATGTTAAATCATTTCCCGTTAGGTCTTCTGGTAAACCATCCATCAATGAACTTTCTCCATTTAAAATTTTTAAAAATTTTAATATTATTGCAAACCCATCATTTTTTTCTAAAACTTGGTTAAATTTTGTTTTTACTTTCATTCCAACGTCACCCGCAACTTCGTCCAATTTATTTTTTGTGAACATTACTGTTGTTACTGAATCAGTTAATGATACTCCTTGTGATTCTAATTTAGTTATGGTTGATGGTAAAAACCCATAATTTGAATGTATAAAGGTTAAATTTGGTTCCATTGAAATTTCATTTAGAAGGGATTGAGATTCTTTTATAAATACAGCATCGTTAGAATCAAAATGTTGCATAACATCTCGTACTTGCTTAAAATATTGGGAGTAATAAGAAGTAGCTTCAATCCAAGAACCCCAACGTGTAAGTACAGGTTCGGGAGGAAGAGGGTCTCCGGGAGCTTCTGTCTTAAAAAATAAAACACGCGAAGGTGCTTTTAAAAATTTTATGTAGAATATGCATGAAATATTTAAATCTATAAAATATGCAAAAATATGCAAACAACAATTTTATATTTCAACTGTGGGGCCTATGACTTATATTTATATCTTGGTTTGCTATAAAATAGAGGCCCAGAATAAAACATGCAAATCCTATAACTTCTCTGCCCTAATTATGAGGCAGGTAGATAGTTTTCAATCGGGGACAGTTAATAAAAAAAAAAAATGGTCCCAAACGTACTGTAACAACTTACGAGAATACGGAGTCTTACCTGCTGCCTTAATTAACGATTCATTGTTTTAAAACGCGTCGTACGCATATTAGACCTTCCTAATCACATTCAACGTTGAGAAAAACCCGTCTACTTTTTTACCTATTCCCGTGGTCCACCCTGTATATCCCCGGCCTAATTAGTAGTAAATTATTATTAGAGTGAGTGTGGAATCCTTATCGCCCGACTGCGGATGTACAACTAGGCGACTACATTCTATAGCACACGTACGCATATACTCAAGTCATCATAAACACACTGGTAATTATTTTTGTACTTACCTACGAAAGTACATGACAATGAATAACAGCAATAAGGTGTCGAAAAATTAACACACTTCTAGTAATTCGATTTAAAATTTGTCATGATTTTTTACTTTTAGGTTTTGACCTCACAACTATACTTATTACCAGAAACCGATCTTAAATAGTTGAAAAAGTTGAAGATTTAAGTGTTTATTATTCCAAAATTTGAATGAAATATGTAGTCGACATTTACAGTTACTATAGACTTTTCAATTTTTTGAGAAAAATGTAGTTTATTCAGGTAAATAAAACCAACCGATAAGCATATCAATAACGTTACTCAAACTCTCAAGCTTCAAGTTTATACCATAATTTAAAATAGTCCATACCCTTACTTAGGTACATAGGTAGGTACTGGGTGACTTGAAACGATTTTGATATTCCCTTTGTTATTCTGTGCTGAACATTTTTAGATAGAGATCGATAGGTAATGTAAGAACTAATTTTAGAAATTAATATATCAAATATATTTTCAAAACATCAATTAGTTTAGTTTTCCGGACCGGACCACGGGCTGTAGTTTGGAGACCCCTGGTTTAGAGTCTGAACTTTGGACAATTGATAATATTTATACACAAAAAGGTATATAAATATAAGTATAATAGGTACCTATTATGATACTAGTATAACATAATATCTATTGAAAAATTTAAATATTTGTTATAAAAAAAATGAATACAGAATAATATGTACGAATAATGTTACAATATAATAAAATAAATTATTATAAAAATTACTAAGTACATAAGCAATATATATTATACAGTATGATCCATTTACGTACACAATTAATTTCAAAAAATATTAACGTTTTTGAAAATATTTTTTTTACATGATTTCAAGTCGTGACAAACCAACATTTTATTAAAAAAATTATAGTTTTAAATATTTTTTTTACTTTTACCATTTTTTAAGTATTTACATTGCAAAGGTGAACATTAACTATTTATTTTGAAGTTAAGTTAAAAAGTTATATTTTTGTAACTTATTAACTTTACTAGTTACTTAATTTTCTAATCAACTTATGATATATTAACTAGTTCAATTGACAGTTGAAATAACTCAACTTTCCTCACTTTCACAGTTTATTTAAAATGAATCCATGAAGTTAAACATTTATAAAATTTTTCGTTTTTATAGTTTATAAATAAATCAGGGACTGGAACCGAACCTAAAAGAACTAGTTCTGGGACTGGAAATTCTTAAATATAAAGCACCGGAACTGAATCCTATATTTAAATAAATAAGGTTCCACCATTTTTAAATTAAATAGGTTCTTTTAGGTTAAAAAATTAAATTATTTTATACTTCATAATTTAATAGTATTACTGTTTTGTGCAGCTTCTATAAACTATGTATGATCATATGAGTTTTCTAATATTTCTCATAATATTAATACAACCCGCATTCCGGATAGGTATTTAAAATTATTATACTTTTTGGTACCTAAATTATCTGGAACCAGTACCGAAATTATTTGAAACCGATACCTTTATTTTTTTTTTTATCAAAAAACTAGAACCATACAGGAACAGTTGTTTTATTTTTGGAGAAGTAGTACCGAAACCCATACCGATAAATTAAAAAGGTTCCAGCTCTTGACGTAAATATTAATACATATTAAAATAAAAAAAATCCAATCCTAAAATAATACAATTGTTTCTGTTATTTTTCTTGATAAAATCATTTTGTAAATAGGTAGATATATTTTTGTAGACTAGTTAGGCATAAAATGATATGACCTTAAATTGTTATTTGATAAAAAAAGATTAATATTTATTAAATTATTAATAATTGGGATGTGTTGGTATAGACTAAATATTTAATGATCACATAAAGTAAAATAGGTACATAAACTGTACAGTGTACATAATGTTGAAAATTCCATAAAATTGTTTAACTATTATGATTTAAGAAATTAAAATGAACGCAGTCGTTTTTTATGACTCGTTATTCACGTCATGATAACATACCTACTACTTAGAAAAATTAGATTAACTTTTTTAAACTGAATTAAGTTAATATTATTAACTTTTAACTTAACAATACTGTGTCCTATCAACTTAACCTGAGTTAATTATTTTCATTACGGAGATTGCATACTGACAGTTTTTAAGGAGTTCAAAAATGGAAATTTCCAAATTGAAGACATGCGGGTCTTGAAAATATGTGCGTATTAAAATATGATCAATACGCCGTGTCCAAAGTAAATCCAGCGCATGTGCACTTAAAATAACCGAAATATGCCCAAAAATATGCAATTGAATATTTTTTTAAATAAATTTAAACAATTTGATTTAGTCATTTAAATCTAGACATTTTTTGTAATTAGTTATTTTTTGACAACAACATTATATTACTGAAGTGTATGTTCCATTTCATTTTCTTCGTCTTCTCCTATACAATGAAAAAAAGGTTGGGGTTTTCTTTAATATATATTAAATTAATATTAAATATAAAAACGATGAATTGTTTACCTGTAAAGTTTGACTGTACAATTAGACATTGAAACAGAGATATTGAACAACGCATGAAAGTAAAAAAAATCAGGTTAACCTTTAAAATAAATGAACTCTACATAAAACAAAAACTGCTACAAATATGCTACAAATAACAATTAAACTGCCAAAATTTGTCAAATATGCATTTTGCTCAGAAAACGGCAAAATATGCAATTCGAATTTTCGTATTTCAATCCGTTATGACTTATGTCCTACGACAAATTTAAATCTTACTTAGACTATTCTGCAGTCATTATTAAGCAATATGCAAATGCAACAAGTCCCGAACCCTAGTAATTATCAATACTTTGATCAAAATGTTAGCAGTAAAAAAAAAGTTTTGGGGGAACTATCGCCCTAATCCCCCCCCCCTATTAATTACGCCCCTGATGCGGCGATATAGAAGTTGTTTTGCTTTTCGACGCATCGGCCGAATTTACTTTGGACCACGGACTAAGATATATCTTAGTTCGTGCTTTGGACACGGCGTTAGGGTGTCTGCCTGCGTGTAAATTAAAATGGTGGAGCGCTCCCACACGCGCAGGTACAAATAATAGCTTTGTGTGCGTGAACAGTAAACAATTTATGCTCATTTGTGTGTGCTTTTTTTCAATCCTACCGATGGACCTGATAACGCGATAAGACTTCTGTAAACTGATTTGAATTCGTTAATATGTCTACTTGAGATCAACCAGGCCACATTTTAAGATATTTAATTCAATTTTCGAATAATCAACATTTAAAACTTCGTAAATTTTAAATATTCAAACGAAATGTATGGGAGCTTAGGAACAAAATTTTAAAAAAGTGGCTTGTTCGATCTGAAGTAGACATATTAACGAGTTCAAATCAGTTTTCAGAAGTCTTATCGCGTTATCAGGTCCATCGGTATGATTGACAAAATATCGGTAAATTTTGGTTGAAATAATTGCTCGTTTGCAATCCCCTTGCGGCCCTTGCCCACCTCGGCTTTTTTGGAATGACAGCATACGTCATACAGTTTTCATTTCATGTTCAAAAGCAGAATATTTTTCTGAGTAAATCGGTACGTAAAAATATATATAGGTTAGGACGAGTGGATTATGAGTTATAAGAATTCAAAGATTAGATGAGCGGATTAGTGGTACGCGGTTATTCCGCAAAATTTTGGTTCACTGCTGTGATCATTTATATTATTATAACTCATTAACTATTCGTCTTAAATTCGATTTTCATGCATCGAAATACGCAGAATGATGTTCTGCTTTGGAATATGAAATTAAAGCTGTACGACGTTGTCATTCGAAAAAGTACCTTTAAAACTTGAAAACTTATAAGATTTGTGTACGAAGCCGCATCCATAAATTTTATGCAACTGCCAACTAATATAATATAAGCTAATACCAACTATGAGACCTATAACCTAATCTAGTAGGCAATTAATAGTTACACTCCATGCTACCAGATAAGGAACCCGTTTCGTACAATATGCTGTCTGACGTCAGCGACTGTTACAAGCCCCCCCTCCCCTTCCGCCACTTGGTGACATTCAGTGTCCGCTGTGGAGTGTATACAGCGTGAAACAATCTATACATATACAGAGTGATTGCATTATATTGTCATTTATAAAATATCGTACAGCAAGTGCGGGACAAATCTTTTATTTCTTTAAAACACAATATGATACGTATTTTGCGATAATAATTATCGTACAACGGTCAATGAAGAAATGATAACGAATAATGATAAATATGAGTATGTGACAATATTCAATATCGCTTTATGGCTTCATGGGCTCGTGGATTTATCGCTTAATCGGCATTCTAGTAATAGCCATCAACACCAGTGTGTGTGTGTGTCAGGTTTCGTTTAAGTTTTTACCAGCCTATTTCCATAAATCTAAAATATAGTAATTTATATTTTCATTTCCGGTTAGCTGATATATTTGGCCGGATTCAAGACTTCAGTAATAAAAAATACAAGTTCAGTTTCAAAAATCCCCACCGAAAATCTCAAAATCCCAATTTGAGCACCTCCCCTGGTGGTGATAGGAGGGTGAAAGATACTTTACGACCCATTCTCGTACTCGCCAAATGTACAAAAAAAATTTCATCAAAATCCGTCGAGCCGTTACGGAAGTGTTCATACACTAACACCACAGATTATAATATAAACCAAAAAAAAAAATATATAAATTTTAAATAATATATTATACCAACGTTTATTTATAATATAGATTGTCGAATTTTACTTCTCGAAACAATTCATATCTACACACCGAAAAAATGTCAGGTTACAGGTAGTCATATAGGTTACTATTTACACGTTTATTTCAATTCTCAATGATGACTAATATTATTTACTAACTTTATCGGACTAAATGTACGATGTCTACGACATTCACAAAGAATGTAGCTTTCAATTGATGAAAGAATTTTTTAAAAAATCGGTCCAGTAGTTTTTAGAGTTTATTATTCGTTAGAAACAAACAATTAATCTTTATAATATTAGTATAGATAATATACAATATATATATACATACATAATATGGTTGTGAACAACGTACGATAACGACTATCGCGTACGTCTTCTGTTATCTAAGTAACACTCTCGGCCGTTCCACAGCACAGACTTCTATATTATAATATTATAATATAGTATTATAATATAGAAGTCCGTTGTCCGTGTAGCCCGCCGACAATATTTCGTGTTCCTTCGAATTAGTTAAACACCATGTCAGTTCGTGGTACGAGGTTCATGGGTCAGACCGTATTTATAGAAAAAAAAAAAAACCCAATGGACTTTGTTGTTGTTGCGCTACGAGTCTGTTGGGTCAACACGGCCGTTATTCGAAAATGCGTAGCATTGCGTCACTTTCCTCGTGATTGCGTAAATGTTCGTTTCTTTATCGCTCGGAAGCTTCGGAGAACCGTCGTTTCTCTATCAGTCATGTTCAGTCGCTTTCAGTGAATATCGAAACGTGATGTCCATAATATAATATGATATCGACGGGCTGGAGCGAGTAGACAGTAACTAGCGACTGGTGGACACGTTCGGTTGTCGAATTATAAGGTGAGTACCTGTTCGGCGGTTCTACTCCTTTCGCAGTCCTGTAAAGTATTTGAGTAAAAGTATTCAAATACTTTTTTAAGTATTGAATAACTTTTTAAATACTTTCAGCATGAAGTATTTTGAATGGTATTTTAAATACTTTTTTTTGTATTAAATACTTTTTGGTATTGAATACTTTGGTTTTTTATTTCGAACATTTTATTTTTATACGAAATAATTTTAGAAATTTTAGAATAAATTAAGAACACAAAATAGGTAGTATCACCAATGGGTGGTTTCTTCCCTCAAAAAAAATCATACGCAAATACCCTATGCACATTTGCTTATTGTTCTAGTTAAGAACAGATTGTAAATTTCATGTAAAAATAAAAAAAAAATGTAATAAACATTTATTTAATAAATAATAAATAAAAATGATTATAAATTTACTACCTATGTGTCTATATTACAATAATTAGAAACCCACTTTAAAAACCAAAAGTATTTGAAAAGTATTCCAAATACTTTTTCAAAGTATTTGAGTAGTATTTGAAATACTATACAATTAAAGTATTTGAGTAGTATCTTAAATACTTAAAAAAAAATGTATTTGAGTACTTACTCAAGTACTTTCCAAAAGTATTCTTTACAGGACTGTCCTTTCGTTCGATAACGTTCTATAATATTATTTCTAGCGCCATTACAACTACACCAGAAGGAACAAGACGTCTGGAACCGCGTGCACGGGACTTGTTTCCTTGTGAACAGAGTACCTGATCGAAATACATCATCAACAATCAACATTATAAAGTAGGCATTCGGATGTTGTAATCAAATAATTTAGTGCCATGGTTGGCACTTGGCTCAGTTGGCTGTGATTGTTTAATGTCGATCCCTCCTCAGTGTCTTTCAAGTATGTATTTACATAATATTCACATTTTTACTGATGTGATATGATAATAATATGAACAAATTACCAAATATTCATAGTTTGTGTTATTTATTATTTTCAGGTTTTGTTGCCGTTGAAAATTAAACATTTAATATGAGTACCATCGTGAGCCTCTGTGTTTTTTTGAGAACTCCACCTCTATTTATTATGGACAGAATCTTCAATAATAGTTTTGGGTTTCAAGATATTGATGGTCTAGTAATTACTTTAAGTAATACCTTTGGAAATAGCATACACAATCAATTTGAGGACGGTGATCCCGTACAGTATATTGTGGCGATACTTCTTTTATTTTATTTATTCATCAAAATAATAGCAATCTGTTTAAGTAAGTTAAATAAATTATCAAAGAAAAATAATACTACATAATCAGCTAATAATTCGGTTTTAATTTTTTTTTTCTAGTATTTTGTTTATTGTTATGTATATTTGTTCTACCTACCCGGCACTTGTATAACGTGTATATACATGGTGCTCCTATCTGTGTTGTAATTTTGTCTTGTTGGGTAAACATGCAAACACTGAATGTCTTATCCAAGCAATATGTAAACTTCAATATGGACATAATAAACAAAGTTATAACATGGGATGTAGATGTAATTTTAGGTATTTTTACACAATTAAAAATTGTGAATTTCTTTTGCTTGTTATTCTGTAATATAATACTACAGTTTGGTCTGTCACTAGTATTTAACTTTTTACAAGTCTGTGCTACAAATCATTCAATCCATAAAGTAAATCAAATTCAATTAACTTCCATTCCGAATAGAAATAATATATTTAATTTTTCAGGTTGTTTACATTAGTTTTATTACTCCTACTTTAATGACATTGATCACAGCTACACATTCGAATACAGTAACCATGTTGTTATTATCATTGTTGCCATTGTTTATTGTGCCAAAAATATGTTGGATAAATATACTTACAATAGTGAAATTAATTTGCTACGGATATAAGCATATCCGAGAGAGCACGTAAGGCCAATCTATACATTATTTTTATGATTATTTAAATGCCGAGTAATAATTATTGCTTTAATATATTCCATGTAGACTATTTATACCTATTGTTTAATATTTGATGAATTATGCATTTTGTCCCAGTATTTATGATTTTGTTTTTATGGAATGGTCACGTCTCAACATGCCAAATGTTTTAAAATTATTTTGGGCTATACGATTATTGGATCTATTTATATTATCCCTGTTAAATAAGGAAATAAAACATGAAACCTTGTTTGGAACTGTGAAGTATTTGTTAATTAAAGGATGCGACACATCTACAGCAGTTTTGGGAATGGCAAGCTTTGTTTCATACTTTTGCCATTACATAATAGTATTCTTCCGATGGGTAAGATGACTAAGAATTAAGATGCTAAAACGGATTTAAATTTTCAGATGTTTTTAACATTTTATTTATTTAGGTGGTGACTGAAGATGTGGATCAGATGAACATTCGACAACGTTCTGCAATAGTATTTTTGTTACTAGCTTTACAAACCAGATTAGCTGTATTAGAGCCAGATGAGCGCTTTATACAACTCTTAATAAATATTAGTATAACTTGTGATTTCCTAATGATTTATATCCATGGTTCAATGGTTGATCCATTATTAAGATCTTTGAGTGTTAATCGTAATAAGTCAATTAATAGGTACGTTGTTAAATATTTTGAATTATTACTTATATTTTTAAATTAATTTTATTAAATTGTTTAGGCATTTAAGAGGTCTTTTAGTTAGCGGATTACTTCTAGTGTTTTCAATTACCGTGTTGAGATACTTGTGGCATTATAATTTTCCTAGTAATTGGAAACTAGACATTTTTTGTATCAATTTACAAATTTCTGTCAAAGTGTTGGTAACATTAGGCGTATATTCATTATATATGATTGATGGCTATCACAAAACAATTTGGGAGAAATTGGACGATTATGAATTTTATATAAAATCATTTGGTGATGTGGTAATTTTATAATCCCTTTAAATTATTTCATTATTTTAATGCTAACATTTTTCTGTTTTAGGCTAATTTCTGTTTGAGCACCATTATTTTTCTGAATGGAGTTAATAACCTGTTTTTTGAATCTGTCAATATAGCTAGTATACCCTTGATGTGTTTACATGCATATTATGGCATATGGCGTAGCATTAGAGATGGGTGGAGAGTATTAATTAGACGCCGTTTAGCTATAAGAAGAGTTGAATCATTAGCTGATGCAACTAATGTTCAATTGTCTGAATTTGATGATGTTTGTTCTATATGTCGACATATTATGGACTCCGCAAAAATTACTAATTGCAACCATTATTTTCATCGTATATGTCTGCGTAAATGGCTTAATTTAAAGGTAAATAATTATTTAATAGTTTTTTTTTTCATTAAAAACTAATTATAATATAAAATAAGTCAACCTTAAGCTATGTAGAAAATAGTGAAGAATAAACTTAATATGATTTAATAAATTAAATTATGTCCAAACAGACAAAATTTGTATTTGATTTTAAACACTGATACTTTGAGAAAATATTAAAAACAACATTTTACATTCAAGTACTTTTTTTCATAAATAATTAATTAACGTATCTGAATACTTACTTGAAAAGTATTTGAATAATTTTACTCTAATATTTGTATTTAAATAGTCTGCAAGATTGGAAATACAGTAGTCTAAAGGTCTAGTCTACTAGTCTAGCGCTTCTCAAACTTGGGATCATGAAATATTTATTTTCTTTTAAATTTTTTTTCTACGGTATTAAGCTTCAAGAAAAAAAACCGTAATTTTCGATTAATTAATTATTATTAAATTATTATTATTACATTGAAGAAGTTTATCTTACTTAAGACTTAATTGATTTTATATTAGTTTATAGTTTAGAAAAAATAATTCCCTATTATTTAAATGGTTTTGAAACTAAAAATATTCTACACTACCTTTATTAACTAAATTGTGTATAATTTAATTTTGCTATTTTATATAATTTTTTTTTTCTGTTTTAGGACAAGTGCCCATTATGCCATCATATTTTATACCAGGCATAAATGTCAAACATTTGTAGACACAGAATAGAAATCACTTTCAAGAAATTTAAATGTTATTGATGTTCTTAGATATTTGAAACTGGTTAGAATTTACCATACACTTAACCATACACTACCATACACTACCATAAACCAGCCTAATATATTATGCTTGACAACTTTACCAAAATAATTAAAATATAATTCAGTTGTATACTCCACACTGCCATGTTTAAGTTTTATATTATTATTAAGATTAAATAATTTGATCAATATACAATATTTTCAGAATTTTAAATAAGTGTTAAAGCATTTACTTTTATATTTTATATTGTTATATTACTCAATTGAGTATAACATATTATACGGTTGTTATAATTGTAACTATATAGATATTATACTTTAAATATTTGTTAATTAATTACAAATCCCACTTTTTAATGTAAGCTTGTTTAAATTTATTGATTTATTTTATATAGTTATTTTAGTATACCAGACATATAGTTTTATACTTATATTGATGTATTTATTAAAATTTATATATTTTAGAAAATATATCTAGAATTAGAAATAAACAGATGAAATACCATAACTATTATGAACATTATATTAGTAACCTACTTTATTAAATTTTATTTTTTTTTCGAACTACTTTTAAAACGTTTACCGTTAAAATAATTTGGTTGACCGTTATCACAGGTTATTAAAATAAATAACCACTTATTCATTTCATTTGAGTCATTCATACTTGTATGGCCTAATAGAGAAGTAGTTTTCTTTTAAATTTTAATATTTGACATATGGCTTGCTATTTAATGTAATATTATTATAATTTATACAAACACAAGTTTTATTTCAATGAAAACAATTAAAGAATTTACCTATTCTAATACCACTACATTTCAGTTCAAGTAAATATTCTTATTAGTTATTATTTAACACATTATAATATAAAATGGTCTTACAATTAAACTTTAAGTAATTATATTACATTGTTAATATTTCTTACATCATTACTTTTATACTTAGACTTTTGAAACACATATTAAAATGTAATATTTAATAAAGTCTGTTAAAGTTAAATTGTAGTTTCTGATTGCATTTAATGTATTGCAATAATATACGCTTGATATTAATATTAATATATCACAACTAAACTTATACATTGTATAGTTGTACCTATATTTTAATTTTGACAACATTAATTTATGAACTCCAATTATGTCTTTACATTCATTCCATCTGCTACTTTTTGGTGCATCATTATTTTCAACACTTTACATAAAATGTTTATATTGGAATTAGAACAGTGATCCCAGTAATTTTAATTAACAATAATTTTATAATTTTTTTTTTCGCCAAATTTTGAAATTTTGGCGGAACACTTTAGCCAAGTTCACGGAGCACCAGTGTTCCACGGAACACCGGTTAAGTGTAGAGTCTACAGTCTACAGGTCAACTTATCGAACTTAAATAAGCGCTCTTACATATAACAATTAATTATTTGAATAATAATTAACAATGGATAATAAAATGTATAACGCTATTGGTTAATTCAATAATAACTTTCTTCAAACACCACGTTTACTTAAGTGTAATTTATATTTTTACACTAACCATGATCAACATCTCAAAAAAGTAATAATATTGTAGTATATAATAAATAATAATGTATATAACATTCAATATTTTATAAGAATTTTGCATAACACAGCCGTAAAATAAATGAGTATTTATATACGATTTTAAATAGTATAATATATTAAACAATGTATAATGTATATATATCACAAAACAGATTACATACATATTAGTCACTAAAAAATGTAATGAATACAATTTTAAAAATAGGCTAGGTATTATAGTTTAAGTGTTAAACAGTTTCATTGTTATTATTATTATAATTTTATTTAAATTTAAATTATCTCTTGTAAATCTATATATTAAATATTATAATTATGTATACTGTACACTGTAATTTAAAATTAAATTGGAATTATATTCCTTTAGGTATATAATGTTTATTATTAGGTATTCTGAATATTAATATATTTTTCGTTTTAGAAAAATTTACATGCAAAGAACAATTTCGTATCGGAATATTAAAATTGTAGGTACTAGTGAATAATTTAGTTATTTGTTGTATTAATCATATGTTACATATAAACATAGGCGTGCGCAGACTTAAATTTCTGGTCGAGCCTAGACAATTATAGTGCCCTAATATTTGGACTGCGCCCCTAATTTTTTTTTTAACACACCAACGTACATGTTGATAATATATTAACCTATTAATGTCTATAGTACTAGAGTTATTGTATTTGTACCTATAAAGGTATACTGTATGTTTTTAGATCAATAAAATGTATGTAATGGTTAGGTTAGGTAGGTACACACAAATATTTTTGATTTTTTTATACTTTCACGACAAACAAAATTTTCATGATCTCCACGAACATATTATTATAATATAAGCATTATAATAAAATATTTAAATATATACGCACATTTTACTATGCCCCTAAAAAGTTTCAGGTCGAGCCTGGGCTTGACCGACTCGCCCCGTGCGCACGCCTATGCATATAAAATCTTATTTAATTAAATTTAATACAAAATGCAATTATTAGGGTTTTACTAATGTTTATCATAAAGCTATTTTCAATATACAAAAATTAATGAATCCAATTTCCATAACTAATGTATAACTAAATGTCTGAAGTCTGAACTAGGTATATGTTGTTACTTTTAAATTCATATCTACACATCCTGGTCCTCGAAGATCTGCACTCTTAAAATTGGCTACCTACTTCTTCAAAATTGTACAATGGTATGCTATTGGTTGAAAATAAAAAGCTCAATATAAATAATAATATTAAGATTGAAAAACAATTTAAAAGAACAATACATTACTTTAAAACCAAGAGAAGGATCATTAATTTAAAGAAAAATGTCTAAGGGGGCTCCAACCCACGTATTTTCAAACGATTTAGACCAATAAGCGGTGGTAAATTACACATACTTTGGAATGTCAGATTTAAATTTTTTATACACGTTTGAATTCATTGATAAAATATCTAGGTTTCTCAGGAAGTCGATTCTCAATTTTCAATATGAAATGACCTTTAAATCACCATTTTTTTTTTAGAAATACTAAGAAATAATTGCATTACATTTGTATTTATTTTGGGTACGTCTGGTTTTAAATAAAAAAAAGTGATTCCTAAGAAGTTTAGTCTAGAAGTTTATAAATTCAACAATTTTATCGAAATTACAATCGAACTTCGGAAGTATGATTAATTTACTACCGCTTTTAGTAGTTTTATAGTCATGCAAACAATAATATATTTCATTTTTTGTAATTTATTGACATGTGCGTGCGCGTGTGAGAGTTGCTTCCGGCGCGGTTGCCCGACTCGACGTGCAGCGATTCTCGGAAACGATAACGGATTACGCACACTAATGTTCATTTACTACTCACACACAGATCTAGTATTAATTTATATGTCTCATGAATTGCCTAAATAGTACTCCTTAAAATATGCTACAGTGCAGCCCCCTTAAAGAACCTTTCCTCCTTTTTCATACGGACTGAGGACCTTCAATGGTGGAGTTAACACTAAGATTTGCAAATGTGGGCATGTTGATGAATATAATTAACTTAAGATAAGCTGAGGTAAGTGAACACAAGTTTGTTCTAGGTCAAACGTTAATGGTTAATAAATAATAAATTTAACTGGTTACATTCTGAATTTAAGTTAATTTTAAAATAATTAACTTTTTTTTAACTCAAACATTTTAAGTAGGTACCTACTTAATCCCCACTTTTAAATATATGACTTAGTTACTTAGGTACCTAATTTTATGTTAGCTAATACATTCAATTTTACTGAATGTGTAATTTATAAGTTACACCTAACTTATATAACCGCCCATTCATTACTTACAATAGGTATTGTATTAGTTTGTTTATCTTTATTTCATATTAGTTTTTAATTTGTATTTTATTATTTTTTAATTATAAAATAGGTATACTTGTACCATCTAATGAACCATATTTTAGTGATGAGCTAAAAAGAATGTAGTATAATATTTTCTAATAATAAAAATTAAATTTAAAACAAAATTAAACGTAAGTAGTTAATTCTGTTACCAAAAAATCTAAAAAATACATAAGAACTGTTTATTTTTATAGTAATTTTAAGTTCAAATTTGGACGACGTATTAAAAAACCTAGAATAACTATTTTAGTTATTTCGATGTGATTGTATAATATTATTCGTGGGTACTTGAAACTTCTAAAGTATACTACTATATATCTGTGATAGTATCAGGGTTTGTTATTGATGTATAACGCGTTATAAGTACCTAATGGATATGGTGATATGATTAATTTTTAATTTAATATATAGGCAGTGGCGTAGCCAGAATTGTGAAATGGGGGGTGTTTAACTGTTTAAGTATAGATTAAAACCAAGTTTTTACAGTTTTCGTACATAAATAAATTTAGGGTTCGGGACTTGACTTGTTGCACTAAAAATTATCGAAATATGCAGTCAACATTTTCAAAATATGCTTAAATATATGCAGCTACATTTTTATATTATTTTTGAAAAATTCATAAGACATAATACAATTTTTGTAATAAAAAACTAAAAAAATAAGTAGGTACCTATGTAAACATAATAAAAATAATTTTAACACGGGTATACAAATTTTAATATAAGTAGGTACCTTATATATTGAATAATATGATGGACGGAGGACACTATTGCATGTCTTTTACATTTTTAAACTATTGTGAAATAAAACTTGATTCTTAAAAATACTGGCATAAAATACTAGGTTAATAAATATAAGTAGGTACCTAATAACGAATAACGTGATATGCGAACACCGCGATAAACGAACACATATCTACTGATTTTCATTTCTTCGTACAATCTAGAAACTAGATGTCAATTATAGTTTTAACACAGTCTTATCACAAAGAGACTTGTAAAGTCTTACGTACCATATGCGAA